TATATATATATATAATTTTTGCTTTCTTCCAACATGTCTTGTATCTTCATTCATTCTAATCTGCTTATTCCAACACCATAGGCAGCTGCTTAATGTGATCTTGGGTTTTTCTTTATCACATAAGTTCAATCAGTGCTGCTCTATAGTATGAATCAAGTAGTTCATTTAAAACAATGTTCTCAACTCTAAATATTTTGAATATAACCACTACTGTTCCCTTATCTAGAAATGCAATGACTTTATGATAAATAAATCCTCTATTAAACAATATTATTTCATTATAATCTTATAACGTTAGCATATAAATATAAAATGTTGGAATGGTTATTTTATAATTTGACCATGTGGCTCCACTGCCATTTCCATTCTCTCTATCATTTGAGTTTTTATAATCTTCATCATCCAAGCTTTATTGGTAGAAGATGATCAATGGCATATAGATCTTTTGATTTTTGGTAGAGGGATCTGTAAAATCTTTAGTAACACACTTCGTATTTTGTTTGTATTGTTTTTTAAAACCTTATTTTGATACCTCTGATGCCACTATAATGCATGCTAAAGTAGTCTCTCAAGTCTTCATTAAACTTTGTATGATTACAAGATGTATCAGTTTGTGCATTTGTTTCCTTTATATGAACAAATTAAATTTAATAAGTTCACCTAATTATTCATTCTTGCATTGATTGTTCTCAAATTCTTCAAAGATAGCAAAGAACTTTGTATTTGATTGAAAGAGGAAAGATTTTCCTTCTTTTGTGGTTCATCTTTGTTTTTTCTTACGTTGCCCCTCTCCCCTTTCTTTCTTTAAGAAACAAAACTTTCCTGCAATCATAGTTAGTCTATTTGGTGATCTTTTTCCTTTTTTCTTTTTTCCTTCAAAAGCCTACTTGAAGCTCATGAGGAGTGTATACCATGGACTTGCAGAAATCATTCATGACAGGTATATTCTAGGTTAGCTTAATAATTATTAAAAAAAAAGAACTTAAAATTTAACAAAGATAAAAACTAAACATAAACATAACAAAAAATAAAATATAAATAGTTATAGTTATATGAGTATAATCTTTTCCGAATAATATTGGCAAGAAATCTTTACTTGTCAGTACTTTATTAATTTTTCCAACTCAGCCTCATGAAATTTACTACAAGCCTTTCCCATCTTTGGAATAGCGTCGAAAGCCCAATTCTGTAACGATATGGCATGCCCTCTAACTGTGTTAGAATGAGGATTTTTTTCAATTTTTTCTTGGAACATTCCCTTTAACATATAACATGTTATTAATCCCTTTAATTTTTTTTTCTCATTTTAATTTTTTTATTGGTACATGCAAAAACAACTCTATTCTTCACATGATTTAGTAGCTCTCTATCAATAACAAAACTCTAACCTAACTTCCAAACATTTTCTCTGTTAGTGCACTCCATGAAGGTACTCTCAATACATACAATCTTGATGTTGTAATTATTTTTTATGTAATTATCAGTTAGCCTCATGTTCGTTCTCATCTCTATAAACTAGTAATCAGTAAGAGATTTTCCAATACTAAACTAGTTATTAGCGCAATTTTGATAATATCAGAAGTTAGATTCTTAATTCCAACGTTGAACAAAATGTAGTAAACTTTTATCCTTTGATCATCAACCTTCCTCAGAAGCTGCTAATGAATGTAGACTTCAAAGAACTATGGGGTGGGAAGGCTGGAGTTTAAACTTCTTAATTAAGTCAGAAATTCCAATTTTTTTTATCTCTTCCTTCATTAAAGCGTCGGCTCCTTGCATGACTCTGGCTACTTAATGGCTCTGGGAAGGAATTGTAAGTTTTGACATTCTTTTTTTTTGTCTCAAATAATAAGCTGCCATTTGTATTGATAGCAAAATAAATGAAATAAATTCAAGTTCATGAATGATAACTGGTCCAGTCACCTCATGATTAGGTTTGAACCACACATTAAGAGGCATTACTTGTTTCTAATCCCTTGCATTTGGTCTGAACTTCAGTTCAAAGCTAAGATCAAGTCTCAGGTTGAAACAGCAATTTTAAATAGGTTCGAATCCACGGCACATTTTGTGCCTTAGTTCGAAATTTTGTTTAGAACCTTAATATCAGGCTAGAAATTCTTGTGTGAACCTAGTGTTTGAACCCATCTTTCTTTTTAGTTGTGGGTAATCTGCAGTTTCGTTATTGTTGGGATTTGAAGGGACGACAATGCATTGTAACCTAAATAATTAAATATGTAAACACATTAGTCAAAATGAGTGGCGTGATGTGAGGTCGAGAATTGCTGGTGTGAAGATTGTGGACAAGGGAGAAAGAGTCCACAGTAATGCTTTAAGATGATGCTTTCAGAGAGTACTAACTATGATTTGTTTAAATGCTTGTGAAATTCTCCCTCATATTTTAAGTTGGGGGTAATTTGGTTCAAAATGTAACTTGTTGCATATTTGCTCAAATAAAAAATTGTTAGAGATATATTATTTCAAACTTGTGAATTAAGAGGAATAAAAATTAAAATTTCTCAAATCTTTTCCAGCATTTCAATTAAATTATTTATAAAAAAAATACAAATAAAAACCATCTAAGGAAAATATTTAGTTCTCTTTAACACGTTTAGAAGATATAATAAAATAATTATCTCAATTAGGCCCGATGTTTCCCTTCCAAAATTTGCCTTTTTCTTTTAATTTTTTATATAATGTAGGGATGCGAGAAAAGATTTGAACTTAAAAAAAAATATTTTGGAATTAACAAAGCATTTATTTATTTTTTTTTTTTGCATTTGAAAAACAAAGTAACTTATTAAAAAAAAAAATCTAAGAGCAAATCAAACAACACATTTTTTCCTTTTTAATATTTTTAAGAAACAAAGAATACAATTAAAAATTTTTCACAAGCTATCCTTTGTTAATAGTGATTATGATACTCATTTTGTAAGGCTGATTCAAAATGTAATAATTTGAAGATTTATATTTGTTTTTTGCTTGTTTATTATTCATTTTCCGTAGTTTTGAATACTTCGGTTCATCACTAGGCATAGGGTTAGCCTTATTTCTTCCAACCTCCAAAGGAAGGTCGGATGTTCAAACTTCAACAATACTGTTTTATACCTCTTTAATGTCATATTGTTTTATGCCAATCTCAAGTTGTATATTCACAAAGCAGTATTCATAACAATTCATTCCGCAATCCACAAGGACAATGCAAAAAGAGAGATTCCCAGCTGCATTTCAACAACTATTTATCCCCTTGATATTTGATTTGATCTCTGGTAGAGTAAGTTTGAAACAAGTTAAGATTGCTAGTGCTGCCATGCGTATCAATACTCCTAGAAAATATGGTCACTTAACAGAAATATGGATTATATTAGATGTTTCATTATTTGGGCATTTACATACCTGCCACAATTCTTATATTTTTACATATCTAACACCTAAACTTTGTATTGGAACCAGGATAGTATTTAATGTATGATTTACTTTGGGCTTTAGAACACCTGAATGCTGATTTGCTTTGTTTCACTTGGAATCTTTGCAGGCGGTTCTTGCAACAGTACCTATCTCTTTTAAGACTTTCTTTGATTATTTTTCTTAGTGACATTCAGTCAAAAGAACGTGCATTTGTTAGTAGAAGGTTGGTTCGTACATTCTTACTGCTATTTATCGTGGTTTTCTAAGTGTATTTGTATTTGGCATCAGCTTATATGTGTATCTCTTGCTTTGTATTTTTCTCACTGTATTTATTTGCTAAATGAAATTATAAGTTTTATTTGATCTAGCATTGATGCAAGTAAAACAGTATGTTGTGGAGCCATTGCTTGATTTTCTTGGTTTTGGTTTTCGCTTGCGGTTTGTGTAACATGTCTGGTGGGTCGATCGGGGGACCAAAAGAGGAGGGCCATGCCATGGTTGTTTTGTTTTATTTTCTTTACAGCTTTTATTAGAGAAAATATTACATGGATATAATTTGCGTCCGGTGTCCAATGATGGAGCGTCATGTGTCAAGTGGCCCCACCGCAATACACTGACATTGACCCGTGTTAAAAGCGGTGGGGCCCACTTGACACGTCGCATTCCACCATTTAAGAGTCCGGATGCATCCGGATTTCATATTTAATATTTTTTCTTACTAAAGGGCAACCTAAATGTTTGGTTGGGGCTGTCAAAAAAGTTTAGTTTTTTAAGAAGCATGCATTTGATTCATTTGTAAGTAAATAAGCTGAAACTTGAACAGAAATTTTGGGCTTGATATATTAATGAACATTTACATATTATTGTTCGATTGTATTCGATTTGTTATTAGCTCAAAATAAAGTTAATAAATAAAAATTATATAATTTAGGTTTATCAATTAGCTAGTTAAAAATTAGAATAGTTCAATTGTTTTGAACTTGTTATTTATTTGTTATCATTTGTTCGAGCATAACTTTAAATAAGCCGTACGTTGAACAAATTACCAGCTCACTCAAGTTCAGCTCGTTTATACCCTTTAGTTGCTAATTAACTTTATGAAGGGCGCCGGCACATCTACACTATTAGGAACATAGGTGGTGATGTGGAAGAAGAGAATGCTGGGGAGAGCAAAGGAAGCAGATTGCAAACACAGAGATAGAGGAGAGATTTGCTATTAAGGTCTTTTATATAGACTTGGAGTTTATAATAATTTTATAATCGAACATGGACTGCCATGGAAAGGAATGAAGTTGTCATTAGATTTATATGAAGTATTTAAAATATTAATTTTAATGGATATGTCTAACAATTTTAGTGGGTTGGCTTGACGGATAAGTGACTGCTGCAACCACTACGGCCAATTGACAACGAAAGCTTAGGCATACGTTTTCTCTCTAATGTCTGTTTGTAATTATCATAAATTTTATAATTTTTAAAATTGTTTTTTCACAATGCATTTAGTTATTATCATAAATTTATAATTTTTTAAAATTAAGAATTAATAAATCGTCCTCTTCTTCCCTTAAAAGGCCGATTTGAAAACCTTTCCCCTACCTCGCGAAGCACAGCCGTTTGACATTCTCCGTTCCCATATTTCTCGCTTCTTCTAGTCCCGAGCTGGCGGAGGAGAAGGGGCGGGGAGGGTCGAGGGGGGACACCCGGGGCCGGCGGCGGAGTTTCTCGGTGAGGGTTTCTTTCTAGAGGAGAGGCGCGCAGCTGCTTTAATGCCGGGGAGTGAGAAGAGAAACGGTCTGGTGCGAGAGAACGCAAGCCTTTCTTACCCCAATATGGTGATGGAGACGGAGAGTGATGAGGAGGATTACGTGGCCGGACTCACGCGGAAGATGGCTCGCTCCTTTCTGTCTTCGTTTTGGGATACTAGGGTATCAATTTTTTCTTTGAAGACTTGGAACGGGGCAGTGATGTTGGAGGTGTAGTGGTTAAAAGTAATTCCAAAAGGTAAATAGTATTCTATAATGGGAGTTGAAATCAAACATTAGTTTAATGGAAAATAAAATTCACTTTTTCAAAATTTTTTTTCAATAAATTTCAATTTTTTGAAAGATGAAAATGAATATCTCAGAGCATTGTAGTGTACAATAAAGAATTAAAATTTGTTCATTTAATTTTAATTTTAAGATTATTTTTTGCAATTTTTTATGATACAATCGAAATTATGATCATGCAAATTTCGAGGAAATTTAACACATCACATTTAAAAGATACTAATGGATTGCATTGAAACAGTCTAAAGATAGTGTCAATCATCGTTTCAGTTGGCCAGAGTCTTGGGCCGACTGAAGAAAAGTATATCTTGACGAAGAAATATTATGTACTTAATTTGAGGGACAGGCGTGTTTTATCAACTCAATCGATTCTGGGATCCCTCGCAGAGAACCAAGGGCCGCTCTCTAGAAAGCATTTTCAACCCTTTATAAAGACCTCTTGTTGAAGAGAAAGCTGCCTATCAGATTACGGTGTTCTAAATTCTTCGTAATGACAAGATGGTATCTACGGAGAGTTACTTCAAGAATACAGCCTGAAGACTTTCCAACAGACCGAAGGACCCTCACCCCACTGAAGGACTTTCAACCGACCGAATGATAATATGGGCGGATCATTAATACCCCACTTCATATAATTATGAATACGAGATGTCGCCAACGATGATTACAATTGTTAAAGAATACCAGAGAGTTAAAATATGTAAATGTGTAATGGTGCATTAATCACTTGTAACATTCTTATTTAAACAAGGACAAATATGTAACTTAACACTTTCTATAACTTATAAATAGGGAGGCCATTTCTTCAAGAGGGGACTACTAAATTGATTCTCATAAAATTTTTGTTATTATGCACTCTACTTCTTTTCCTCTAGTTTGCCTCTACTCCTTTCATCCATCCAAAACTCTATCCCTTGGGCATGACCCATAAGACATTTTTAGGTTTGAACATCTTAAAAGATACAGTGAGCATGGAGTCATGTCATCAACAAGAAGAGTATGTCACAAAGAAGGAACTCACTTGGGTGATACTTCTAAGATGGAGGCCCTCTAGAGTTCATGCAACAAAGATATCTGGAACTCCAGGATAGAATAACAGGGTAAATGATGTAACTGATCGGTGTTGTGCTTGAGGGGAAAGCACAAGCTCTTCCAAAATCAATTCCTCAAGCGAATCAAACGACTTAGGGAGTCAAACGAGTTGAAGAATCCTAGTATCAAGATAGTGTTGGGTCTATGCCAAGGAATATGCTAGAAGTGGGGTGAATGGAAGTTTACTGCTTACTGGAGAATGAATTCTCCTGGTAGATTATTTATTGCAGAGCCCCCACAAGAAGTTCAAGGTTCCATCCTGGAGCCCTACTAGGGTTAGAACGATTTGAACAATCACTTTACATCATTTAAGTTGGTTATATGGTATTTCAAAATTTCTGACGTGTTGAAGTGTCGACTATTCTATACGACAATGAGGGATTTGATCCTCAGGTGATTCAATTGCCTCAAGATAGGAATTATTACTTTCTTTGGCAAGTTCAAGAAGCTATTCACGATGCAGTTCGCTAGCACTCAAAAGCCCCACAAAGATTTTGAAGCTTTTTGACACGTCAAACTGAGGCTGATGAGAGCCTTCGGGCATACACACTCAATTCTAGAAGCAGATGCTGGAAGTGCGTAACCTGAAGCTTGTGATAACAATGGTCGCTTTGGCGCAATAGCTGAGTGCATCATAATACTTCCTAGGTTTATGTAAACCCGATACTTTGGCAGAACTTATGGAATTGGCCAACGATCATACTTTGAGATATGTCAAGCCACCTATCTCAAAAAGCAAAATTTTCAATCACCGCTCGGAAAGAAATGGCTCGTGAGAATGACTGGTGAAGGGAGAAGGACGGCCCTCGCCCAAAACGAGAAAGAGGCCGGTCATCCGTGGTGACAGAGAAGCCGGCCAAAATTCACAAAGACGGAGTCGATCGAACTACTGATCGACTGGTCACCGAGGAAACTCAAAACTCACTCAACTAAGGGTTTTGATGACAAAGTTGGTGGAAGCTATCCAAGACATGGAGTACTTCAAAAAGAGTTCGTCGATGAGAACTAAATCTTTCCTCTAAGGCACTAGCAAATTCTGCATAAGGACAATGGTCACGACACGGGAGAGTGCATGCACCTTCGAAGCCTGGTCAATGAACTAATCCAGGCCGGAAAGCTCAAAGAGTTTGTGGCCCCCAGAGTGCAGACTCCAGTAGATATCTAAAGATGAAAATTAAGTTTACTGAATTCTCAAAATGCAAGTAAAAGTAAATGTAATGACTAGACAATATATAAAAAGGGACTTTCTCCTTGTCAATAATTTATAATCAATGCAGGATTTCAAAATTGTTTAAAAACTTAAATGTGGCATTGTGATGAATAGGAGCATACATATTCTTTACTTATTTTGAATTGCGCAAAGAACATTGACTAATCTAAAATTGGTGTCGGCATGTATAGTAGTTTTGGGTAGGTTCTACTCTCTCACTCCTAGATTACCCATTGTGGTCTCTCTATAAGACCTACCAATGACTCTTAGTTTCAATCTCTAGACCAAATTGATAAAAGAATCTAGCATGTCACTCTAAAAACATCAATTCTACGCTCATCAAATCTTATCTCCCTATATATTTGCACCCCCTTCGGATGATCGCCACTGCTCTTTCCAAGGTAGAATGTGATACTTACAAGTTAAGAAATCTTAGCCCTCTCGGATCTATAAGTTTCCTTAACAAATTTTAACAATACAAGTAGCTAATTTGTAAAGTAAATGAAGATCTAGTAAAAATATAATCACAAATTTTTAGGAAAAAAAGTTCTAAACAAAATCAAAATCACTTACTTAATTACTTCATATTGCAAGGGGAAAGAGAGAAAAATACTCAAAACGCATGGGGATAAAAAAACAAACATATTTATAAAACTCAAATTCAAAGTACAAAACTTAAAGACAAAGATATAAATACTTATCTTGAATGTTCCCCCAAGCACTCCTTTGATGTTCTCTCTCTTCTCTGGCTCCAACAACACTTAACAAGACTTACAAACTCCAGAAATAACAAAGATTCACAAAGAAAACTTCTAACACATTAAACACACTCACACACTATGAGACTATAGATCCGACTTCCTTAGCCTCTTGGAATTAGTCCATGTTTATGGAGCTTCGAAAATGAACAAGATTTGCTTCAGACATCTCTTCAAAATTCAACCTTGTTCAATGAATTTTCTAGAAAATAACCGTGGCGCTTAGGTGCCCAGGCGCCCAACTGTCGCGCCTAGGTGTCAGTCAGGTTCTGCATCT